ATTATTAAAGGTATCACTCCGGTACCCACAGACATACACTAGTTCTGCATTCCTTGATGTTATCTACCCACTTCTCCCGTTTTCGTATCCCCCCACCCCCGTTAACCTCTCCATTTAGAGTCGCTGTTTTAATCGTTAAACAGATCATGTATGTATCAGTAGATGGGATCTTTCACAAATGATAACTGTGACGTATTTCCTTTATTGCAGTATTCAAGTGTCTTTAGCGAAGGAGAAACTCCCCACGTCCTGTCACACAGTGCCAACAGCGAGGGAATAGCCTCCACTAACTTCAATGACAACAGTAACGATAACTCTTCTAGTGACATCCACTCTATACATGTGAAAAATGACAATCTCAGCAGGAACAAAATCTACAGCGCGACGCCCAGCAGCTCAAGCTACACCTACGATCCTTTCAAGTGCCTAAGCGCAATGGCTGAACAGAGCCTCACAGGGAATTTCACCCACAGTTCGTCTAGTGCTGACAGTAGCTTCTTCAGCGGCAGAGGGATCAGCAGTGTGTCCAGTCGTTATAACCATGACATTCAAAACAGCAGCAATACGTTTCTCAACCTTGAGCATTCCGTACAGTATCCTCCGTGTGACGATGTGTACTTATCCTCCTCGGCCACATCTCTATCCTCCACCTCTCCACCAATGTCGCCAACATCATCACATTACACATACATGTCCTCACGAAACTTGACAACAACAACTGACTTCTTCAACCGGGAGGATTCGGGTTACCAAAAAGTCTCCACGCTCTCCACGGAGAGCCAATCACGTGAATTGATTAGAAGCGATCAGTTCGATCTATGTTCAGCAACGAACCAAAATTCCGCTGGGGAGGTAATAGGTTGCACCAAGACAATCAGCAAGAAGAGTTATCCCTCCTGTTCTTCAGAACATTCGTTAGACGGTAAGCAAGAATTTGGTGTTCGTGAGTGCTACTTCTGCTTCTTTTTCTTCACTTCCACTGCCTGTAGACTCCAACGGAAAGTTCTAGTTGTTCGTCCACTTCTGGACTTTAGTCCTATCCCAGAACTTGAGTGTTGTGTGCACATCCGTTTCACCATTTTTTTTCTGATTTGCAGGCAGATGCATTCCGATGCACTGCTTATTATTCAACGCTTACGACACGCTTATAAGGAAGGCAGTTGAGTCTATTCTTGTTAACCTCATAAAGGGGCCCAGGAAGCCACATAGGGGAGTAAGTGCTACACAGTTAAAGTGACTGACAGATCCCGGGAACATGTAACGTTTTTCGCCCCAAACAAACAGTTGACGTCGGCGAGCGTGATTTGTTTTACCTTTCATCAGCCTGCCAGGCAGCGGAGGTTGCACGGGCAGAGAAAAGGAGGCAGACTAAAAAAAAAACCGTATCGCTAATTCCGTACTTACGGCGGCTTCCATCTGCTGCCCGCACTGCTCAAGAACTTCCCGGGCTCATATTGAACTAATCAGCCACCTTCATAACCATAATTATCGATCATTGATACTTTGGATGAAAAGTGGTCTTCGTCACTCCTGATGGACCAATAACAGCAACAACCATTAAGAGAAAATGAAAGAACAACACTGTTGTAAAACAGAATATATTTTAAGCAAGCTCGCTAAAGATAAACAAACTCAAAAATTTACGTGATTAGATAAACAAGTGCACTTCGTATGTTCATATGAAAAACAGTGTTAAATTGAGAATAGGTACAAAGATGATTTCGATCGAAGCTATGGAAGTGAACCATCGTACAAATTAAATGCATAAGGAAATTTTAAGACAGTGTCTTACTAGACATAAAAATTATAATGAGCAAAGATCCATCTCAAAGAGAATTGGACATCAATAAAGTGTTTTAATAAAGATACCCAGCATAGATACAGCGTTGATTAGTGGTCGGTGTTTGATATTGGGTTTAGCTGATCAGTTAGTTTAAACTTATAAACCTATTGCAATCCTTATTGAACGTGATCCGAGTTTTGAAGACAATCCTCGTTGATTTGAATTCTAGTCTATTTCATCTTTGAGTTTTTAATGTACACATTCAGTGCACTAAGCCAATACCTACCTACCTACCTACCTACATACATACATACATACATACATACATACATACATACATACATACATACGTACATACATACATACATACATACATACATACATACATACATACATACATACATACATACATACATACATACATACATACATACATACATACATACATACATACATACATACATACATACATACATACATACATACATACATACATACATACATCCATCCATCCATCCATCCATCCATCCATCCATCCATCCATCCATCCATCCATCCATCCATCCATCCATCCATCCATCCATCCATCCATCCATCCATCCATCCACGCACGCACGCACGCACGCACCCACCCACCCACGCACGCACGCACGCTCGCACACACACACATACACATACACACATACACACATACACACATACACACATACACACATACACACACATACACACATACACACATACACACATACACACATACATACATACAGTGCAGTAAAGAAGATGAAGTTGAAGGGGTAGGGAAGGGTCGAATGTTTATTTACAATGTTCATTTTTTTTTTAAATTTATGCATCAGACACATTCGGATTTGTCTGTACTACATGTTAACCATATTATCGTTGCAGAAAGTGACAAGCTGCTCAGCTGGACGTTACAACACCCCGAGGGCTGGACCAACACCGAAGTCCTCGACTGGGTCTTCTTCGTGGCCCAGGAGCGAGGCTTGGACATGCAAGAGTTCCGAGGAGAGAACTTTCAGGCCTTTACTGGCGCCCAGTTGTGTCAGATGGGTCCGGAAGATTTTACCAGACTAGAGCCGAAATTTGGAAAGATTATCTATGGGATGTTAAGAAAGCTTTTAAGTGGAGGTAAGTTTTCTGACTGCATTGAGTTATATTGAGTTGAGAACCAGCATCACAGATTGGGGACATTCTCATAAGCGCTTTGTCCTTATCTGTAGCAGCCAGCGACGAGTTGTAACTATGATGGTACTAATAGTTAGCTTCTTTAGGATAATTAAGTCTATGTTTTTTTACCATTAATAATGCCTAATGTTCTTTCTGGTTTATTCAACAAAACTGTTTTCACTGTAGGCTGATTTTGTATTCATTTGTCTGAATATTTGAATCATTTTTCTGTACAACCACATCCTGCATTCTCTGGAAATGTATTGGTTTTGTTTATTTGTTGCCCAGGATTCATAGGGGTATATTATATAATAATATCTATAAACTCTCTACTTAATAGGAACTTATTATGTTTATCTACAATAATATTGATTTATTCCATTAGATGTTTTCGGGTTATGAAATGCAATGTTTGCTTGTCCAGTATGTATGAATTTGTGTTAAATGATGAACCAAGGGAGAGAATAAGAATATTTTAATTAAAAAAGGGAGCTAAGTCTGTTAATTAAATTGCAAGAAATAGACAGACTCGTTTACTGAAAACTTTCTAATGAAATTGTGAGATGCAAAGCATGGGAAACCGCGACAGAGACACGGCTAGCAAGTTTTCCAGCTGGATGGACGAACCCCTAACATTTAAAGCACGTCAAGAATCGGCTGTAAACTGGGAAACCACTCTTTGGGTCACTCAGTGTTGAGCATCAGACAGGTGATCCTCATTCGCATGTTAGCAGTTCTTCATTGAATGCTAATATAATCCAGTTTCGTCCTTTTTAGGATGAAATTTTTTGTTATTTGAAGCCCCACCCTGGCTTTTGCCAGGGGCCGCAATATAGGCAGGCCATAAATATGGCCAAATGTCTGAACGCGGTTTCTGGGACCTCTCCACGGCGATCCTCATCCGCATGGTGGCACTTTGTGTCATCGGGTGTTTATCGCTTGTGTGATGTCCTGGTGGGGGTAGAAAGTCAGTCAGTCAGTTCTTCATTAATTAATATTATATCCAGTTTCGTCTTTTTCAGGACGAAATTTTTTGTCATTTGAAGCCCTACTCTGGCTTTTGCCAGGGGCCGCAATATAGGCAGGCCATAAATATGGCCAAATGTCTGAACGCGGTTTCTGGGACCTCTCCACAGCGATCCTCATCCGCATGGTGGCACTTTGTGTCATCGGGTGTTTATCGCTTGTGTGATGTCCTGGTGGGGTAGAAAGTCAGTCAGTTCTTCATTACTATAGTATCCTTACGTCCTTCTTAGGACGTTATTTTTTTTTTTTTTTTTTGTTATTTGAAGCCCCACTCTGGCTTTTGCCAGGGGCCGTAATATAGGCAGGTCATCATTATGGCCAAATGTCTGAACGCGGTTTCTGGGACCTCTCCACGGTGATCCTCATCCGCATGGTGGCACTTTGTGTCATCGGGTGTTTATCGCTTGTGTGATGTCCTGGTGGGGTAAAAAGCCAATCCAGTTCTTCATCGTATATATCCAGTTTCGTCCTTTTTAGGACGAAATTTTTTGTCATTTGATGCCCTACTCTGGCTTTTGCCAGGGGCCGCAATATAGGCAGGCCATCAATATGGCCAATTGTCTGAACGCGGTTTTTGGGACCACTCCACGGCGATCCTCATCCGCATGGTGTCACTTTGTGTCATCGGGTGTTTGTCGCTTGTGTGATGTCATGGTGGGGTAGAAAGTCAGTCAGTCAGTCCCCTGTGAGATGCAATTTTTCGTTATTTAGAAGCCTCACCCTAACTGTTGCCTGGGGCTGCAATAAAGCCTAATGCTTGAATGCGGCTTCTGGGACCTCTCCACTAGTGATTCTCATTTGCATGGTTGCGCTTTGTGTCACAGGGTGTTTATCGCTCTGTGTGATATTCTGGTGGGGTAAAATTTACCTACCTACCGAATGGTGGCACTTTGTGTTCCCAGATGTTTGTCGCTCAGTGTGATGTCCTATTGGGGTTTAACAACTTCCAACTAGTCTATTATTTCTTCTTCTGTTAGCTTTAGCATCCTTCTAACTAAAACACCCTATATGACATTAGCAAATGATATTTATTTTCACACAGTTGTATTCCGAAAACCCATGGATCCAGATAGTGTTAGCACATCCTGCGTCCAGATGAGTTCCTTTTCTTCAGGTCTGTCAGCGAAAATGTCCATGAACCTAGAGAGATTTTCCCAGTCTCCTCATGCAGTTGCTGCTGTAGAATCCCATGAATGTGGTGGTAAGTCACTCAAACATTTCACTAGATTTCCCCAGTCTACCCATGCAGTTGCTGCTATAGAATCCCATGAATGTAGTGGTAAGTCACTCAGACATTTCACTAGATTTCCCCAATCTCCTCATGCAGTTGCTGCTGAAGAATCCCATGAATGTAGTGGTAAGTCACTCAGACATTTCACTAGATTTCCCCAATCTCCTCATGCAGTTGCTGCTGTAAAATCCCATGAATGTAGTGGTAAGTCACTCAGACATTTCACTAGATTTCCCTAATCTCCTCATGCAGTGCTAGTGGTAAGTCACTCAGACATTTCACTAGATTTCCCCAATCTCCTCATGCAGTTGCTGCTGTAGAATCCCATGAATGTAATGGTAAGTCACTCAGACATTTCACTAGATTTCCCCAGTAACCACTCGTATTCTCTAAATCAAACAATTAAATTTTTTTCTGGCTTTTTATTCTGCATCTTCAATCATCATAAGTTAATCGTATCCCTAGTACCTCTGTCTTGACTGTGTTGACCACTTTTTTGGGTGATGTAATAATGAGTGGGATGGGAAGGGGTTGTTCAGCCTTTTGGTTTAGGAGAATCACAGGACAAGTACAGTCTCCCCAAACCTTATGCCTCCCTCTTTTCAGTGTTTTAAATAAAGTCAGTTCCTTTAGAGATGTGATTCTTTCTCGTTCCTTTGCTTCAGGGGTGATGCATTCCTTAATCACACGATCCAACATTCCTTTCTTGCATTTGTAACCCTTTTTTTGAATACTTTATGGTCTATTTTGCATGGGTGAGTGCGTGCGCGTGTGTGCGCGTGCGTGTGCATGTGTGTGTGTGAGTGCGTGTGTGTGTGTGTGGTATATGTGAGTGTGTGTGTTATTTTGTATTATTGATCTAAATAGCAATAAAAGTGATATGTCTGAATGATTATGTTTGTATAATTATATTTGCTATTATGACAGACTTTGGTTAGTGAGTGATATATTTTTTTAGAGCCTTGTATAGAAAATACCACAGTAATAGTAATTAATTACACAAATGCCGGTATCTCAGAATCTAACTTAAACATCTCAATCTAATGACCCCTATAGGTATGACACAGAACACATTTTTCAAGCAAGAGAGATGTACTGACATGGACAGCGATGGCATTGATATCACATCCTATGATTTTGACTTAAATGACACGCCGTCATGTTTTACTACTTCACAGACACAAGGTAATGCATCCAGAATTTGTGTCAGTCTATCTATATAATCTTCATGTCAGTGTTGACACAGCAGGTATTCACAGGTGATCTCCGTTGCTGTCGGTCTGCTGTTTTCTGCCTATTGTATGCCACGTCATGTTGCATTCCTTCATTTTATTTCTACCGTCAATCTCTGGGTTTTCTTAGGTTTTTGAGAATAAGTGCACTGAATCATTCAATCAGTATAAAATATTCACCTTCATTTAGTGAATTGTCTCTCCTGCTGCTGATTTTAGGAGACTGTACTAGTGTGGTTAAGCCTTTAGCCCGAGGTTATAAAGGTTGTGAATTCATCCATAAACTGCAACTCTTACTGAGATCCCTCTCAATCGTCACTAGAGCTACAGAGTTCATGCTTTATGTGATGTTTTCAGCAAGCGATTGTGAAAGAAACTTGAGTCATATGAAATAAAATGGCTCGCAGTGAAGTCGATCCTCTTGCCTACAAATCTTCTCACTCAGTTTGCTCGTGATTTTAGAAACACATTGTGATGTTTTTGTCTTGTTTTCGAGCAATAATGTAGAGACTATTGTGTCAAGGCAATAAGGGTTCAACTACTGAAATGCCAGGATAGTAAATGGATGACTGGGAAAAAAAAGAAGGTCCAATATATAAATTTGAAATACCAAGGCAATAGTCGAAACCTATTCTCGAGAGTTCTCAATTAAATATTAGAAAAGAAGAAGAACTGTAATTTTACTAAAATTAAAGACATCATTTGACATCAAACGTTGAGACAGTCAGGGTTGTGTGCTTTCACCCTATTTGTTTAACCTCTACCCCATAAATATAAATGTCAGAGATGATATAGCCAGAGAGCAATAAGATGCTCTAAATTTAGGTGGTCATGAAATACCAGTGATCTGATATGCCGATGATACATTATTGCTATTCACATCGCAGACTGGTATAGAAAACTTAATTACCTCAACACAAAGAAATAGTGATAATTACAACTTTTGTCTTAACACAGCAAAAACAAAGATAATGCATACAGATAAAACTACATGGAGAAATAAATATATGTTAATGGCGAAAGATTGGAGGTTGTGGAACATTTTGAACATCTTGGGTCACTGACTACCAGCAATGGTGACATAATGGAAGACATTAAATGAAGACCATCGGTTGCTCTTCAAAGACTGAAACAACTGAATAAATTATGGAGTGGGATAGACGGAACAACAAAAATTATTTTCCAAGAACATGCATCTTTCCCATTGCAACATGTCCTGTGAGACCTGGAAAAATACTAAACGAGCTAAACAGCGTATGAAAACAAGATTTTATAGACGGGTTCTATGAATATCGTGGTTAAGAACATAAAAAAAATGCATCCATACTTCAAGGACTGAATATTAAAGAAAGTTAATTATTACAGACGATAAAATACAGAAAAATTGAAATATTTTGGTCACTTGAAACGTTACGAAAGTTTAGAGAGAACAATAATAGGTTGGTACATGCCTGGGAAGAGAAGATGAAGAAGGCCACGGAGAAGATGAGCGCAGGATGTGGGGATAATCTCCAGATGGGTGTATCGGACGCGGGACATCTTGCTTGTGATCGATACATTTTCCGCAATGTTGTTATGGGTGCAAGGTTCTGCAAAGGACAGGCTAATGACTGACATAGAAATCCAATTTGTTGTTCAATTGTAAACAAACTGGATAACATGTCCCAAACTGTTCTTTATTCAATGATGTATGTGTTTTTATTGTTTTAATTTTTATAATAGATGTTAATTTTTTTTTCCATTGACGCGTTTTTTTTTTTCTCCCATTGTTTTTTTTTTTTTTTCCAGTGGTGCATTTTATCTTTTTAATGTATTTGTTCATTTATGTGAGGTACCCCCCCCCCCCCCCCCACCCCCCCCCCCCCCCCACATTCGCGTGGTTTTTTTTTTTTTTCATTGACGCATTTTTTCCCATTGGTGTTTTTTTCCCCCTAATGATGGTTCTAACATAATTGTTAATCTGTCAAACATTGCTCAGATTCAACCCGCTTTACTTTCAGATCAATTCCAACAAGACTATGGCACGTATCACGGTCAGTATTCTCAGACTGCGGCTGTTCGGACGTCTTGTTGCTTCTCTGCTGCCTCCTTTCCTGGTCAGCTGCCCAGGAGGAGACCAGGTCGACCAAGAGTTAAAAGCTTTCTGGACGATGACAGAATGAGCAAAGAAAAGAGAGGTAAGCATGTGCTATCTGCATCACAAAGCTTTTACCCCCCCCCCCCCCCCCCCCCTTTTCCTAATATCATACTATAAAACCAGGCCTTTAGATGTTCCCATCTTTTGGGAGTCTGCACAGGAGCGCCACGCAAAGACCATGATACTTAAAGAGGTTAATTAGCAAATGACTGCCCCACCTACGGGTCTTCTAGTGTCTTTACATTAACGTCCTAACATTGGATATCATGTGCTGCTCCTCAACCCCACCTTTTTCACCTCACTATTTAATTATTTTCTCTGTATGTCTTTGATCTGCCTTTATTCATTTGACACTGTGGGTTCCAGTACAAACCTATTCTATAAGTAATATCAATAAGTAGTAGTAATTTTGTAACGTTTGCCAGGTAAGAGAGGGTTGCAGTTTCTGGAAAATGAGGGGCGAGGTCGATCTCCACAAATGTGGATACAACACAATGAAAAAGGCATTGGCTAAGAAGGCACAGAGGACTGGAGAATTGGCTGGAGAAAGAGAGACACTCTGGCATGCCATAAAGAGAGCATTGTTTTGTAAAGGACATGCTGACTGATGACCAATAGTTATGTTGTTGTCATTGTGTCCTATCACTTTCCTATCAATTCACCACCAGTGATGCAGATCTAGTCAATCGGTCTGCCTGTTCATTACCCACCACGTCAGCATTCCTTGAAGAAAAGACCCAAAGTATGCTCACTACCTGTGACCTTCCCAGTGAAGCTTGCCACTCTGCTCGAAGCATCCCTGTCTTCACCTTTCTCAGCTTGCTTGCAGCATCTGTTGCAGTTACGACATGTGTATGGATTGTCAGCAGCGATTGCAGCCTGGCCACTGACTAGGATCCAGTGTTGTTTACATAAATATGGCTAAATGTGAAGTACATGATACGGCATATCAAGAATTGTTTGCGACACACAAATCAAAGTTTTACTGTACAAGGTCCTGGGACCCCATTGTGGGGAAAACAAGAATAGACTCACTGCCTGTCCAAAAGCATGTCGTAAGAGTCGCCTAAATGGAAACTTCCTTCAAAGTCGGAGTACATCTGCCTGAGAGGCAAGGAACCAACAGTCTGCATGCAAATGAGTCAGACCTTTGAAACGGATGCTCACGCAACGCTCAGTTTATAAAACAGGACTAGAGTCCAGAATTTTCCGCCAGAGTTTATTTAAAGTCGTGAATGCGAAGAAGAAGAAGATACTTGAAGAATACAAATTTTAGACACAAAAAAATTTTTTTTTAACTGATGCAAAAATAAGTAAAGAACCACACAGTTTGCTTGTATACCTATTCTTATACAGCTGTGTTTATGAAAGCCACATAAACAATACAGCATGCTTATTTGAGAAGACATGATTTTGCTATTCAAGTCTTCCTATTTTCGATGAATTGCTATCTCTGCTTATTATCAGTAAATCAAAATGTCATTTTTCAGTAAAAAATCAGCACTTGTGGGAATTCATCTATGAAACCTTGATGAACCCAATGTACAACCCGCAATACCTCCGATGGGAGAACCAAAGAGATGGTGTTTTCAGATTTGTACAGTCGGAAGCTGTGGCACAACTGTGGGGCGGTCGCAAGAACAACGAAAATATGACCTATGAAAAGCTCAGCAGAGCTATGAGGTATAACTTTTTAAGATTGAGTACACCGCTTTTATTTGGAGACAAATTGTTATCTTCTTTCTCCATTCAATTCTTTATCTTTCCTGCTCCCTTTTTTTCTTTATTTTTTTCTTTATTTTTTTTCTTCCACTTCTTCTTCTTTTTCTCTTCCTTCTTCTTCTTCTTCTTCTTCTCTTTTTCTCATTCTTCTCCTTTTTTTCTTCTTCTTCTTCTTTTGCTTTTTCTTCTTCTTCTCTTTTTCTCATTCTTCTCCTTTTTTTCTTCTTCTCCTTCTTCTTTTTCTTTTTCTTCTTCTTCTTTTCTTCTTTATCTACTAATTCTTCTGTTTCTTTCTACTTCTTTTTCCCCCCACATTTTCTCTTCCTACGTGTAATTCAGATTCGGATATAAAATTTAAAGTTAACCTAAAGGCTGTTAGATTTTTGCGCCTTCTCCATGGAAAATAAAGGTCATTTTTACTTCTTAAATGGAGTTTATAATGTCTACTTTTATAGTACGTCTTCGAACTTAACTGTATTTAATTTTCTCCTTGATTTTCATGCTCAAATACAAAGGCATTAATTGTAATTGTTAGTACACTGTCCATTTTTTTTTTAAATATTTACATTTTTCAGTTTTAGCAATGTACAGTGTGTGACATTCTTCTTCTTGACTCCCAGAGTGTATCTTATCTATCACTTTTATTATTTAAACAGAGCGTGCTTATATAATTTGATGCTCTCGTCATCATGGTGTAGTGGCTAGATGCTTATCTGCGTGGGTTCACATCCAAATTGATTTTTTTTTAATGACTTTGGTTCCTAGTGTGACTTGGCTCAAAATAGGTTCTAGGTAAAGTGCTGGGAAGTATAGGCGGCCAGCGTGATACTGACCACGTTAGCCACAAAGTACTAGTTGGTCCTAGTACTATTTACACACTGCGCCTAAAGGCGTGGAACAGAGTCCGTTATCTGTTATTGGACATTTTCACGGTGTATTCAACCTCTTTATAAGTACTGTAAGGTATTCATGTTTTTTTTACATTGTTACATCCCTCCTTGGGAATCACCTGCTGTGAAATTGTATGGGTTGAAATAACTCAGAGAGATCATTCACAACTTACTGTCGTTTAGCATTAGCAATAATAATTTTAGTGCTGACAAAATATATGGAAGAGAGATTTCGTTCTGCTGAATGTTACTTTAACAGCCAAAAGAAGCAGCTGTAGTTAAATTCATTGCCTGAATTTCAGCTGTAAAATGATACAGTATGTTCCAGTTGCAGAAAACCTGTCACCAATGAAAATATGATGGACGTTTACCATACTAACTCACTCACAAGTTGCCTGTCAGAAACTGATGCTCTCTGCGGACAAATAAAAAAATTCAAACTTAAGCATGACGGTTTCTGACATCTTTCTGACTGGAAAACACTTTTTTATTATTGATTTATGTCAGGAGAAAAACAAATACTAAGCTCTGATAATTTTTGACAGACCTCATACCTCATATCAGAGTTGGATGACTGAAACTATCTCAGGCATGACAGACTAACAGATAATGTGAGTCACTGGTAACTATAATGAAATAAATTGTTATAATAAAAGCCAGCACTGACAGATAAACAACACTCAGCAAAACTGACTGACATGGTCAGAAATTTGAAAGAAGAACTCAACAGAATATTGTCCTACATTACAGTCAGAAATAATCAAATAAAAACTGAAGATTCATTTAACTTTTTACTGTATTCCCTAAAAATATTTAATGATTTTTTTTTCCTGAAAATCCTATGAACACAAAAAAATTCTAATAACAATAAAAGGATGATATTTTATTATCAAAGGTACATATCATAACATGTGTGACATAAGAAAGGACAACAGCATGAAGTTAAAGGTCGATAACAGTGGAGCTTATTTTAATTATATTTACAGGACATAGAACGAAAAACAGTTTTGTAGTGTTTTGGACAGAACTGATGAAATATTGTCTTTAGAAAAAACAAACTCCTAACATATTGTTTCTTGAATATTACTCTGGCAAATTAGTATAATATGGCTCATGTAGTTAATTCTCTAAGCATATACTGTGGCTGTTACTCAAATTTTCTTTGTTTTCTTTATTTGACAGGCATTACTATCGGAGGGGAATACTGGAAAGAGTTGAAGGCAGACGACTTGTTTACAAGTTTTCAATAAAAGCAATGGAACGGATTCGAGATAAAAGAAATGCAGTCTAGTTGTCTTCTTTACTTTTAACCAGTGTCTCCTCTTATTTAGCAGAGCAACAGATAAATCTAACCATGACATCTTACATACAGCTGTAAGGCAATTTTATCTGGGGTGTTCATACACACAAGCCAGGGTCAAGTCATCTGCACAAGCAACAGGCATATCCTTCTACAGATAAACTGAAACTACTCACTCAGTTGACAAAATATATAACCACTGTATATTGCATCAATCTATTGTGTATGGAGTGGTAATGCTCTTCTTATAAGTCAAGATCAACAACAACAAAAAAGAGTTTTTTTCCTGTACAGTTGTAGAATTTGTGTTTAATAAAAGATGATTATAATATAATATAATTATATATATTATAATAAGTACCAGGTGTTGCAGCAGTTAGCTGAAGATGTCAGCACAGAAGTCTGCTGGGATCAGATCAAAGGAATCTGGAATGAATCTTGCGTAGAAGTTCTTGGCAAGAAAGAAAGGAAACATAAAGCATGGATTACACCAGAAACCATTAAACTGATTGAAGATAGGAAAAGTAAAAAGGCAGACTTAAACAATAGCAAAACTATAGCTGCTAAAGCTAGAGCTCAGGAGAAATACACAGAAGCCAACAAGGAAGTTAGGAGGCATATAAGGGCAGATAAAGTGAAATATCTAAATGATCTAGCACAAGAAGTGGAGACAGCAGCAGCAAAAGGAAACCTCAGAGAACTCTACAGTAACACAAGAAAATTAGTAAGTAAATATAGTCAGCCAATTGGATCAATCAGAAATGGTCAAGGAAAGGTACTTACTAACACTAAAGATCAAATGGACAGATGGGTTGAATATTTTGAAATGCTTCTAAATAGACCAGGCCCAGAGGTTCCCCCAGATATGCAGTAATGTAGATAAAGATGGAGGAACTGATAGAGATATTAAAATAAGAATTCAAAAGGCAAGAGAGGCTTTCATAGCACTAGTGAATTTGTGGAGGTCAAAAGAAATTAAAAGAAATACTAAACTAAAAATGTTTAATTGTAATGTCAAATCAGTACTATTGTATGGGGCGGAAACATGGAGAACAACCAAGGCAATTACTAATAAATTACAGACATTCATTAACTGGTGCCTGCACAGAATAGAGGGAATTAAATGGTATGATAGAATAACTAAGGTAGAACTTTGGGAGAGAACTAAACAGGCTCCAGTGGACCAAGAGGTGAGGAAAAGACGCTGGCATTGGATAGGACACACACTGAGAAAACAGGAGAACAGCAAAACTAGAATGTCTTTGCATTGGAACCCACAGGGGCATAAGAATAAAGGAAGGCCAAAAAACACATGGAGAAGAGAGCTGGAGAATGAAGTCAGAAAGATGGGGAGGACATGGGGAGAGCTCTTTGCAATGGCGAAGGATAGAACGATAGAACGACTTGGCATGAGTTGGTTGAGGGCCTATGCTCCATTGGGGTATAGAAAAGCAGAAGAAGAAGATCACACTGTTTTATGAAGAAGATAATTCTAAATTCTAATTAAATCTGTACGCAAAATCAGAGTACATAAATGTCTCTTTTTTTTTTTTTGGTTGGGTTTTTGTTGTTGAAATTTTTCCTTTTTTAAGAAACTTTTTTTTTCAAATTGCTACATAAAATAATATCAATTCTGATATGTTATTTTACTGAGTGAAATGAAAACTTCCCGTGATCTTAGGTTGAATTCTTATTATTATAGACTGTTTTTTTTTTCCTCAAAAGACTTGAACTCCCAGGTTAACACAGAAGATACTATCAATTGTGCCATAAAGAAAACTACTAGAATGTTCTGCTTTTCAAATAAATTGCCCCTTGCGGTTATTAAATCATAGTGGTTAAGGCTAATCAAATTGTTAAATACATTCACTAACCCCCTAAAGAGCAGAACCACACACTGTAATGAAAACAAGCATTTAAATAGTTTACCCAAGTCCAAACTATCCAGCCAGTTTTGAAGAAACTGTTTACTTCACACAGGTTTTGATTTAAAATATTATATGGTTTTTTCTTTATGTAAAAGAAGCCAAAACTGTCATGAGCAGATTTGAACATCTGAGTTAATTTTTTTTATGAACATTTTTGAAAAAATTAATGTAATATTTTGGAATTGTTCTTCTTAACTTTAGTCTTTAGCTGCCAATATGGCAACTAACCTGCAATTCTATGTCAACATTGTTACATATTGCTTTTATTTATTGTTTTTTTTTTTAAACTGTTTTATTCATTTTTCAATATATTATGAAAGGTTGATGTAAATTTGCAAGTAAACAAAATTATGCATGTGTTTAATTAATTCCTTATTGATATTATTGGTCTCATAGTAAATATAGCACTATTTGTTATATTTTAGATATGCATTCCCATGATTCCCATGATTCAACAACCAGTTCTCTCAGAAATATTGGTAATCTAATTGTTTTGACTGTTATTACATAATTACAATGGCATTACTGCCGGCTATGCTGTGAAGCTGCTGTGACCCTTCCTATTCATTTACAGTTATATAATCTGTTGGATGGATATCTTTTATTGGAGCACATGTGTGAATCAAAGAAAGGGAACCTACCATGTATTTTATAAGAGCTGATATGAGATTCAAAACCTCAGCCTGCTGTATGAAAACATCGGCTGCAAAGTCTAACCAGTCAGCAACAAGTCAACCAAAGAACCACCTGGCATTGGCTAAGTGGCTAAGGGCCTATGCTTCATTGGGAGCTGAAAGGCAGAAAAAGAAGAAAACATGTTACCTACTAGTCAAATCTGTTTCACCACTGCTGGTTGCATTTCTAAAGCCGAGGAGGTTGTGTGGACTTTTATTGCCATTTTCTACAGAATACAATATATAATGTCACTGAGTGTTGCAAACTGAACACTAAAATTTCAGATGAGATGAATTAGGAACTTACATTACAGCACTCCGGACATTCCCATAAGCACTCCATACCTATTTTTAGCAGCAAACAAAGAGCTCCAGTTCTGATGGTACTAGTATGATTGCATATCCATCTTGTTTTTTTACTGGATGTTGAGCGTTGGCCAGATCTAGTCTCTATAGTGGCTCCACTATGTGTACAATAGAATGTATTAAATTATTGCTCATAAAAATTTGCATTACAGTTGATACATGTGCCTTGTTACAAATTTGACGGGAAATGAATTATATACTACACTATTGACTTCATAGAAAATAAAAAAATAAAAAAAATTACTTGAACAAAAACTATTTTGTGCAAGAAACTATTACCTTATAATGATTTATAGTGAACATAAATTGTTGCATAAAACTTTTATGAAATAAAAATAATAATTCATTCACAGTACTTCTCTTATTTGTTATAGCATATATTGACATAGAGTGTGCATGCTTAATATTCTACTTTTGCAGCGGTAAAATACAGATAATCATCAGTGGGTGGTAGCTATCAAGTTAATCCCAGGGTAAATGCTATTAAAGTAATCCTTGGGATGAGTACTATCAAGCTGTTACCAAGGGTGACTGCTATCAAGCTGATACTGGCGGTGATTGCTATCAAGTTGAAATCCGGGGTGACTGTAGTCAGATAGATACGGGGTATGTGACTGCTCTTAATCTGATAGCAGGGGTGATAGTTATAAAGCTGATACCAGGGGTGATTGCTATCATATCATGCTGATACCAGGGGTGACTGCTATCAAATCATCTGGTAATCTGGTAATCTTAGTTTCAGCTTCATAGCAAACAGGTCACCCCATAGTTGCCTCGCTCCTGTGCCAACGAAAAACACACATAATGTTTATCACAGTCCTTTGTGGAATGATTGACAGACTGTCTCAGCATTTTTAGCATACACACACATTAAAATCATACGGTAGCCATCCGAAGTGCTAACACAAACAGTCCAACTTTAGAAATGCAGTTCATCAGGGATGGTAGCGGAAGTCACCAACAGATCATCAGTGAGAAAAGGAGCACTGGAAAATATCCTGACAACTGGAAACATCACTGGTAGAAGAGGCAAAGGCAGACCAAGTAAAATGATGGTGGATGGCTTAAGACAGTGGTATGGAGGAATATTATTATCAGTAAAATTTATCCAGAACACAAAATACTGGGATCTGTGGCGACGCATGAACGCCTACGCAAGCTTGCAAGCTACTTGATGATCTATGTACACTAGTTGATCACCTTATCTACTGTCGTCTGTAACTCTGGTGCTATTTAATTCCAATCTCTCTCCTTTCTATATATGAGAATATCAGATGTTTCCAGGTACGCAATCTTGCACGTAAAAACTTTGAACAATACAGGTGAAATTGTAGATCTCTGTGGTAGTCCTGGAACTTTATATAATACATGGCTCAGATGCCCATGAACCCAGGCAGAGAGCTACCCGTGGAGTATACAAAACAGCTGCTATTGTGGCAGTGCCCATGCCTGGATAGTCCCGCACAGATCGTGAAATGCCTTAGCTCCAGCGATGATCTTGTAGCATCTCAGAACAGAACAACGGTGTTCACAATCAAAGCCTTAATCTTCGGAGCAAGGCAGACGACATGCCAGTTTCCCAAGGAAACCACCAAGTGACAAACATTGTATCCCGCCAAGTCTCAGTCAGCGCACAGTTCTTCAGCTTCTAGACATTAGTCTTATTCTAAAACTTAACTTTTGCATGCAACTGCGTTTTACAAATCTGGCTTACATGTATGCAGACTCTTGGTTTCTTGCCTTTCAGTCAGTTGCAATCCGACTTTAAAAGAGGCACTATTAATTTATCGACTTTTATTAAATGCTGTTTTAGGGGCTGTGTACAGCTGATTCTCAAGCCAGCGGAATGCATCAGTGACTGCCCCAACCTCTATTCTCAAACTAGACGTTGTGATATTATATACTAGGCTTTGTTGCACCTAGCGACGTCCATTCGCCTTTTTGATAAACCCCAGTGCACTCCGTTTGCCGCTCAAAAAAGAGCCATCTGAACAGATAATCACATCACTTGTTCTCTAGGAAG